AGGGCTGATCTTCCTTACCAAAAAAATAAAAAATAAAAAAATAAAAATAAAGAGGTTCAGAAATAGGCTCAGAAAGTTCAATTAGCTTGTTCAAGATTACAAGAATCAGGGGCCGGCCCGGTGGCGCAAGCAGTTAAGTGGGCGTGTTCCACTTCAGCGGCCCTGGGTTCATGGGTTCGTGGGTTCGTGGGTTCAGATCCCGGGTGCACACCGATGCACCACTTGTCATGCCATGCTGTGGTGGCGTCCCATATAAAGTAGAGGAAGATGGGCACGGATGTTAGCTCAGGGCCAATCTTCCTCGGCAAAAAAAAAAACAGGTGGATTGGCATCGGATGTTAGTTCGGGCTGATCTTCCTCACAAAAAAAAATAAAAAGGATTACAGAATCATAAGTGATAGAGAAAGGAACTTGAAATATGTCTGATTCCAAAGCCCTTATTCTTAACAGAGTCGCTGAAGTGCCACCAGCAAGTTATTAAGAGGCTAGCATCTATCTTGTGTATATTAATTTCCTAAAGACTCACAGCCCAGCTGGCTTTTTTTCTTTCTCTTTTTTTCTCTTCCCCTCTTCTTCCCTCACCTTTACCCTTTCTCTCTTACCTTCTTTGAGTTCTGTGCATGCTTTATTTTAATAAGTAACCAATGTGTCAATTATCTATATCCATTTTCTAGTTGAGACTATTATGGGAAGGAGTCTCATTTGTAGCCTTGTGGACAATTACCTGTTTTAAATGTTTGCAGTGTAACTGAATCTCCTCTGTCTTTTAGACATGGATCGCTGCCTTTTATGCAACAACGAAACTCACTGGGCCCCTGTAGGGAGCACGATGTGCTTTGAAAAGGAAGTGGAGTATCTCAACTGGAATGACTCCTTGGCTATCCTACTGCTGGCCCTCTCCCTTCTGGGAATCATGCTTGTTCTGGCCATCGGCATAATATTTACAAGAAACCTGAACACACCCGTTGTGAAATCGTCCGGGGGACTGACAGTCTGCTGTGTGATCCTCCTCTGCCATTTCCTCAACTTTGCTAACACAGGCTTTTTCATTGGAGAACCACAAGATTTCACCTGTAAAACCAGGCAGACGCTGTTTGGTGTGAGCTTTACTCTCTGCATCTCCTGCATTTTGATGAAGTCTCTGAAAATCCTGCTAGCCTTCAGCTTCGATCCCAAGTTGCAGAACTTTTTGAAGTGCCTCTATAAACCGATCCCCATCATCTTCGCTTGCACAGGTATCCAGGTTGTCATTTGCACACTCTGGCTCATCTTAGCAGCACCTACTGTGGAAGAGAATGTGTCCTTTCCCAGAGTCATTATCCTGGAATGTGAAGAGGGATCCATCCTAGCATTTGGAACCATGCTGGCCTATATCGCTATTCTGGCCTTCATTTGCTTCATATTTGCCTTCAAAGGCAGGAAATTACCTGAGAATTACAATGAAGCCAAATTCATAACATTTGGCATGCTCATTTACTTCATAGCTTGGATCACATTCATCCCTGTCTATGCTACCACATTTGGCAAACATTTGCCAGCTGTGGAGATTATCGTTATTTTAATATCTAACTATGGGATCCTGTGTTGCACATTCTTCCCCAAGTGCTATGTCATTCTTTGTAAGCAAGAGACAAACACAAAATCTGCCTTTCTCAAGATGATTTACAGTTACTCTTCCCACAGTGCAGGCAGCCTTGCTATGAGTCATGTTTCACTGGACTCCTCTAACAGCAATATCCCAATGACCAATCCCAGCTCTGGTCATAAGTCTGCAGTCTGGCAGACAAGCAAAGATCTTCAGGCACGAGCATTTGCATACATCTGCAGAGAAAATGCTACAAGAGCATCTAAAACTTTGCCTCGAAAGAGAATTTCAAGTATTTGAATGAGTCCTTAAGAGATGGCACGTTCCTGAATAAAATGTTTCTAGGGTCTTTGCGTTTAAAATGTACATTTACTTTCCAAGAAAATATATCCTATGTGTTTCTTCACTGCCCTTACCTTCACCAAGTTTTGGTTGAACACTCTCTCTGTCCAACCACCCATTTAGCAAAGAAAATAGAGCCCTCAGCCTGAAATTCCCTTCATTCCTTCCCACCTCCATCTGTCTCCCTCTTTACCTCCTTCGTCTTAGGCACATAGTTAAAGGTCTCTCTTCTATTCAAAATTAGCCCATAATATATCATCCTTAGTCTATCCTCTACCACCTCTTCTCAAACCGCTTTGTATGGGGTCGCCTTCTGTCGTGAGCATCTTTACCTTCCCACCCCCACTGCTTAGTTCCGTTGAACAAGCATTCGAGCAGTTACCGTGTGCCAGGTGATATGCTAAATACAAAGGTACAAGAAGGATCAAGGCATCATTTCTGACCTCAAGGAGCTCAAAATCCAGGGGGAGACAGTCACATATGGATATCTTCCATTCAGTGTGGGGAATGCTATGATTGTAGTGTGTGAAGGGCAGTATAGCAGTATAGTGAAGTGGTCCTTAGCCACTCTGGGGTTTCAGAAAAGGCTAAATAAAGGGTATGATGTTTAGGGGAAGTCCTGAAAGATGACTAAGAGTTAGCTAAGCAAAGAGAGTACAGAAAGCTCTTCCAGATAAAGGGGGCAAGCAGGAGCAGCAGCAGAAAGTGTGTCGAGAAGATATATTCAGGGAAGTACAGTTGTTTGGGGATTACTAGAGAGAAGTCCTCTTTTGTTATGTTGAGGTTAGGTCATGAATGAAAGCCACAGACTAGAGTTCTTTTTTAAGGAACTTAGGTCTTTATCCTGTGGGCAGAGGGTGGCCAAGAAAATGTCTGGCAGAAATGTGACAGATTCAAAGTCCCATTTTAGGAAGATCACCTTGATACAGGGTGGAGGATGGAGTCTCGTTGAGAAAGAATTAGGATCTATACCAGGGGATAGTAAGGAGGATAACTATATGCATTTAAACTATACACAAGGTGGTCATTTATATGAAGTACTTGGTGAAGGATGAGGTATAGCCTTCTGGTTTGGTTTATTGAGAGGTGACATGGATATGGGAGGAAGACAGGTTTAGAGTAGAAGACGGAATACTGAATTTGAGGTACCTGGAGTAATTTCAAGATGTATAAAGCATTCAGATGGATATAAGACTGAGCTCAGGGGATAGGTCAGGGCTCGTGATAAGGATTTGGGTGCCACATTCACATCACTCCCATCTTTATAAAACAGATAAACATACAAAATAACATTGTCTCTGATCTTAACTTTCTCTTTCGCTACCACTCTCTTTCTCCCTCCTTTTCACAGCTGGATGTTTGAAAGAATAGCGTCATTGACTTATGACCCGTTAGTTCTGAGCCCATGAAATCTGGCTTTTAGTTGCACCACTCTGCCGAAATAGTTTACAGAAAAGTTACCTGTGACTTTTTATCTGTCTAATTCAATGGTCATCTTTATTTGTTCATCTCCCTTGAATCTTAATGGCATTTGTGGTATAATTCCTCCTCCTTGAAATTCTCCTTCTTCATTCCTTCCATTATTTTTTAAAGCTTTCGTTTATTCAGAACTCTTCAATTTGATGCAAAGGCTCTTCTGGTTCTACTCTGACATCCCTGGCCATTCAGTTTTGGTCTCTGTTGCTGGTATGTCTTCCTCCACTTGGCTCTTAAATGTGGGTATTCCCCAGAGATCCACCCTCAATCTAAATCTCTTTTTTCTCAACACACTCACTCAACATAATATTATCCATCTTTATGTCTTAACTTTGACCCAGACAACTTTCAAAACCACACCTCTGGTCCAGATCTCTCTCTAACCAACCCACCTCTAACACTTCAAAGCCAATATGCCTAAAATTTAACCCATTATTTTCTTCTCCTAACTCCTCCTCTTGTTTTTCATTTTTCAGCATGTGGTACCACCTTTGGACTAGTCGGAACCCTGGGATTCATCCTATTCATCCTTGACTCCACTATCTGCTTTGCCCTTCTATGCCTTTATTCATCATCTGTATTTTATTTTCTAACTCCTGCATTTTCTCAAAACTTTGCCATGATTTCTATCCCTGTCATTACTTCCTTTAACTAGGCCTTCATCACCTTTTTCATAGATTGTTGCAATAGCCTCCCAATTTGATTCTGGTCTCTCAATGTTTTATACTAAGTATAAAGAAGGTCTTGCAAAATCTTCTGCTCGTTTCCACTAGCTATATCTCTATAGTAAAAACCTCTTTATGTTACTCAATTGTTTTAAAAGCTGCAATAAGTCAAAAATCCTTATCCTGATGCCCAGGCTCTTCAAGTCAAGCACCATTGTCTACCCCTTCCTGCCTGGTGCATTACCCTGGAGAAATGGCCAACTGCTGGTGATTGTCTGTACACACACCATGCTGTTTCACGCCTCAGAGCCTGTCTCTTCTCTCTGCCTTGATTTCCTCTCCACTCCTTGTCCTCCTGGAACACTCTAGCTAATCCACCAGACACAATTCAAGCACCTCCCCTTCTACCATGCCTTCCTTTCTGCTTCTGTCACAGCACCTATTACACTTTATAGCATTTACTTGTTTTTATTTTAATTTTTTCAACTAACATTTATCAAGTGCCTGCTATATACCGGGCGTAATTCTATGCATGGGGAATATAAAAATGATAAAAGACAGACAAATTCTCTCCTCTCAAGGAGTTTACATTCTGGCGTTTTCACCATTTTGCAGCGAGCAGTCAAGTCTTCTTTAGTAACAGCTCTCGCAACTGTTCTTTCCTCTCTACTTCCACCTCTCTCATCACCACGATTGAAGCTTTTATGACTTCACACCTCTGTTGTTGAAAGATTCCAAACAAGTCACCTGCCCCGGGATTCCCCTTCTAATACACAGAATACATCATCACAGATCAATCTTTCTCAAGTTAGTTCCAAGACTATCATTCTCCTAGTCAGAAAAATTTAATGACCTCTTATGGCCTTCAGAATTAAGTTAAATTCCCCTACCTTGCTAAGCAAGACCTTCCACAGTCTTACCTCAGTATGGACTGAATGTTTTGGGGTTTTTTTTTTGTTTTTTTTTGTGTGTGTGTGTGAGGAGATCAGCCCTGTGCTAACATCTGCCAATCCTCCTCCTTTTTTTTTTTTTTTTTGCTGAGGAAGACTGGCCCTGGGCTAACATCTGTGCCCATCTTCCTCCACTTTATGTGGGACGCCGCCACAGCATGGGACACCGCCACAGCATGGCTCGCCAAGCAGTGCGTCGGTGCGCGCCCGGGATCCGAACCGGCGAACCCCGGGCCACCACAGCGGAGCGCGCGCACTTAACTGCTTGTGCCACTGGGCCAGCCCCTGGACTGACTGGTTTAAAAAAAAAGAAAAAAATCCAAGATATTAATCCTAGTTTACTGCTTAGCCTAAATGTAGTCTCATATAATATGGTGATAATATCTCATAAAATTGTTATGGGTATACAATATTCTGGTGTTCATGAAAGTGTTAAGTAATGAGTATTCTGTTTGTGATTTCACTGATTCATTGCTCTGTTGATATGAAAACAGTTTCTCCTATTGACATGAGAGCAAAGTTGTAGGAGAGCTTCCAGATTCTTGATTGTGATCACACAAAACAGAAATCCCGGCACTGTTATGCCAATAGAACAATAAAAGAAATATTGTTTCATAAGAGTTGTGAGTTTTACTACAGTTACATAGCTTTCAACAATTATTCCAGAAGAAAGAAAATGCTATTCAATGTAAGAAATTAGGTTCTGAATTCCTTGAAGCCAAAACTACATCCTTGCCATCATGGAAAACAAACAACTAAGAGAATGACTATTGTACTTTTCATTTTTCTGTTAAATTTTTAGGCTTTTAAATTCAATTGAGTGTTAGTTAAATGATTTTCTTACTCTTTCTGGAATAAAGGGTTTCCTCTTTTTTAATATAAAGGCAATATCTAAATATTATAAAGAAATAAGAAAATAAAAATAAGCACAAAGAACTCACACAAAAGGACCCGTAATTTTATAACCAACCAACAATCTTCCATTATATAAGTAGTCAACTCTTTACAGTTTGCCTTAATCAAGTCCAAATCATTATTCAGACAGAAACTTTCCCATTGGTCAAGACAAACTGATCTGGGGAGGAAAAAAGGTATTTAGAGTTCAGTGACAGACTGATTCATATGGTTATCCCCTTACCCTGTACACAGAGACACACATACTAAAATATTTTATTGCTAAAATACAGGGTGAGGGAATAATATACACTGCACCACAGCCTTTACTGGTAGCATAAAATCAGACTTGAATGTTCTCACAAAGATTCTTGATATCTTAGTCAGCACAGTATCTCAATGATTTTCTTCCAACCTTCCCCTCTAACATTAGAATCTCCACAGCTCTTGAGCTGTCTTTAAACTAAACTTTCAGATAGGCCCTTACTGCCATTGTCAGCAAAATAAGACTTCCAGAAAGTTAGAGTAGAAAACAATTAATTGCATACTTCTTAAATCTTAGATTAAAAGAAGGTGGAGAAGAAACATGTGAACAATTAAACATGGAAGTGATAAGTGGAACTTCCATTGTGACATAAAAAGGAAAGGAGTATTGGAGCTGGCCTGGTGGTGTAATGGTTAATTTCTCGCGCCCCATTTCAGCAGCCCAGGGTTTGCGGATTCAGATCCCAGGCAAGGACCTACATTGCACATCAAGCCATGCTGTGGTGGTGACCCACATACAAAATAGAAGAAGACTGGCACAAATGTTAGCTCAGAGCCAGTCTTCCTCAATCAAAAGGAGGAAGATTGGCAACAGATGTTAGCTCAGAGCCAATATATCTTCCTCACCAAAAAGAAAAAAAGTAAAGGAGTATGCCCTCCTCCTACTTCTTTTCCTCTTCTTACTGGCTGTTATACAGAATGACTATGAAATGGAATCTGCAAGTCGAAGATAGTAGAGCAACAAAACTGAAGAAGC